GAGAGAGAGAGAGAGAGAGAGAGAGATGGAGACACAGAGGGATTTAGACAGAGAGACAGAGAGCGATCGAGACCCACACAGAAAGAGGGAGAGATTTTCATACTCAGGTAGTTCAACCTGACAACAGGGCCCCAGAGCAGTGTTATGATCTGTAAGTAAAACATGTAGAATTAAGCCTTATAATGTGACTTAATCTCGCTTACTCTCAGACTCTGTTTCCAGTGTCTGAGCTCCACCCATGGAGGTTGCCAAAAATGCCCAGGGAAGGAGATCCTGAAGGCACTGGAGATGACAAAATGGTTAAAAACATTGGGGATCTTAATAAATAAACCCGTTTCAGATGGTTTAGGTAAAGAAAGGTTACATTTCTCTCTGGTGGCCAGGGCACAGGTACTTGGGAGGCAGGGAGGCCAAGAGGACAAGCTGAGACCTCCTTCCTCTATGCACCAGGGACTGAGCGATGGGGAAGCACAGGGGATTCTTGACTGTAGGGGATGACCTTGCATCACAGAGGTCCCAGGGACCCAGCTTTTTCTGAATTAACTCTGAGCTCCAGGAAAGACATCCTGGGTGCTATAAGCACAGCATGTGGTCTATAAAAGGTTAATTTGTCTCTATTTTGTGAATAAATTGATAACCCCTGTAACTCCCTATTGACTAGTTTAGATTTAGTCATTGGCGGCGGCCGTCACTGCACCTCTCTCTTCCTGGGATTCCAAGACATCCCAGCCAGCGGTGAATCTGGCTGGGAAATTTGTCACAGGAAACATACTACTCTGCAAAGATTGCTTCCTTTAGTTCTCATTCTCCTCATGGAGAAAAGCTATGAAGCACATCAGCCGTGGAAATAAGCCTGTGTAAATTTCCTAAGGCAGTTGAGTTTGGAGCAGAAGTAGCAGGGAGGTAGTGGTATCTGACCTGAGAAAGCTGGGAAGGAATGGCAGTTAAGAGAGGGCCATGGCCCCCTGGTCCCACTCGGGGCTTGGGGCAGGAAGCTGCCTGCCCAGAGTGAGGCCTGTCTGCTGTGGCAATGTTTGGGTTCCACTGCTCAGCCTCACTGGTCCAGAGCAGCCTTGCAGGAGGCCAGGCAGCAAAGACCTATTTTTAATGGGTGATCGATGAGCTTATGCAAGTGTTCTAGCCCGGGTTCTTTGGAAATCTTGGCCAAGGTAAACGGGTATTTACATTTACAAAGGAATTCTTTTTCAATGGAAAAAAATTAAAATGTTAGTATATTCCTATAAAAAGAAATAAAATGTCTTCTATCAGCATATCTTACTAATTTTTGTCCTTTATCTTGGTTGAGAAAATGACTGGGTTATGTTCTTGTAGGGGTGAGAAGTACCAGTCAAGCATCTGTCTGGGTTTCAATGAGCCGCATGGTTTTATTAGCCATTCCAACAGCTGCTTTCATTAGCTTATTGCACGTTAGTCAGGCATTGATTTCTTTCCAGGGGAGGTTTGGGTTGGCCTGACTCTAGACTCAGGAATCAAGTTGTATCTCTTTGTCATATGAGGTTATTAGATCACTGATAATAAGAACATACATGAGTTCAATTATTTTAAATGTTCTTTGGAAAGAATATTCCAAAGGTCTTGTTATGGACTGAATGTTTGTGTCCCTTCGAAATACATATGTTGAAGTCCTCACCCCCAATGTGATGGTGTCTGGAGGTGGAGCCTTTGGGAGGTGATTGGGTTTAGGGGAGTCATGAGAGTGGGGCCCCATGATGGAATTAGTGTCCTTATAAGAAGAGGCACAGAGCTCTTCCTCTCCACCGTGTGAGGACACAGCAAGAAGATGGCTCTCTGCAAGCAGAAGAGGACCTTCACCAGAACCCGACCACGCAGGCACTCTGATCTTGGACTCCCAGCCTCCAGAACTGTGAGAAAGAAATGTCTGTTGTTTAAGCTACCCAGTCTATGGCATTTTTTTATAGCAACTTGAGCTAAGACAGGTCTAAAAGTAGAAATTCCATAATTCCCCAAAGGGAAGGAAAGGCTTATAATGTCTGATGCTGCTGTCCCTCTGCTTTGCCCTCTACCTGAGCTCTTCACCTGAGCCACAGGACACCACTTGGTTGATCTTCACTCTCAGACTCTGGCACAGTAGATGATAGGAGGCTTGTAAATGTAGAGAGAGGAAAATATCTCAGGGACAGACACACACTGCGCACCTAATGTCCTTAATTAATATGATGGATCTTGACTTCCTGCCTTCTTTCCTAACTAAAACGAACCAGGAAAGACAAAAGTGATGATGTCTACATGCATTTTTAAGACAGCCTTATCATTTCTCTTCCTCTAAGCAAACATGAGAGCCTTTTAAATATCAAAATATTGATGTAGCCCAATAACGATGTGGTAGTTCAGATAGCGATGTGCCTTGGAGGTCTTGCTGATGTTCAGATAGATACATAAGACCCATCCTGGAAAAGAACATTATCAACAGCTTTATATTTGGGTTTCACTCAAAGGCCTGTTCTGAGTTTCTTCCCGATTAGGAAGGCCAGCAAGGAGAGAGCCCGGCCTTCCGTGTCTGTTTCCTCTGATAAAATTCTGAGAATCTCACTGGGGGTTTAGCTACATTAACATCAAAGACACAGCCCAAGGGTAACCGGATTTGGAAAATGTAAAAAGCAAACATTTTACGCTTCCCAGAGAATCTGCCTCCCTCTTTGCACTGGCCCCATTTTCTCTTAAGATATTTACCATCTTTACATCTGTATTAGTGATGACTCAAGGAGAATTTTATCTCTTAGGATCAATGCATTCAAGTCCTCAGATGATTATCTTCTTTCTGTGTGTTGGGTAAAAGTGAGCAATTTTCTGCCCACATTAAATATCAAAGGAAATCAGCCTGGCACTTCATATGAAAGGTTCCTTGCAGTTCTTGGATGCTGCTTTTGGATCTGGTCATCATAGATAAGGCAGGACCTGGGCTTTAAGAAGCAGTCCCTTCTCCAGGACCCTGCGGAGACGGCTTCTGGCTTAGGGAGCCCAGGGGAGGGATTCCTGTGCTGTGTGTGGTGTGAGTGTTGTGACAGCCATATGGGCAAAATGCAACAGGAACACACACCTTCGGGTGATTTTGACTGGGGAGGCAGGCAAGGTTTCACAAAAGAGGTGTCATTTTAGAAAGTTTTAGTTTGCATGTTAGGATGGGGAACACAATTACATTATAGATATGGTCAACCCAACTAAGTAAGTTGTTCCTAGAGCACATTTCAGCAAACTTAAACTAACAGCAGATTTGATGTGATCTATTCTCTTTTGGAGGGGGGAGGACACAGCTGTTGGGGGTGGTGTGGGTTGTGCTGTGGTGGGTCGTGTCAGTAATTGTGCGCTCTGTTCCTATAACATAAAGCCGTGGGAGGCCAGGTTCCCTCTTTCTAAGGCACTTGTATTTTAATTTTATTTCTAGTCACTGAGCGTTTTCCAGGCAATCTGCTACATAGTTGCTCAGGTTGCCATGACGATAAGACACAGTTCTACCCTCAAGGTGCTTATGAGTAAAAGGGATGAGATCAAACATCAAGATGATTTAAGGAACAGACCTATAGTCACATGGAAGCTTTGTCTTTGATTTTAAAAGTGCCAGAGAGTTGCAAAATGAAGCATTTCTTTAACATTCACTAAAAAGAAATTTGTAGGACCAAATGGAAACAGCAAAAGGAATATTTTTCTATCTATCTATCTATCTATGTATCTATCTATCTATCTATCTAATCTATCTCTCCATCTATCTATCATCTATTGATTTTCTATCAGTTAGCTATTATATATCTATCAATTATCTATCAATATTAATTTTCAGCAAATGAGAGCCTCATTTCAGACACTAGAAATTATTCTTAGCACAGGAGGTATGTAGCAGACTGGAATTGGAAAGGTGGAGAGAGACAATATTTTCATTGTGCTATATTTTTGGGGAGTGAGGTAATTGAAAAATTATTTCACATGAACGTCTACAGGAAGGGAGAGTTCTGGTCTCTTTCTTTTTAAAGGCCATTAATTGATTATAATTTTGCCATTTAAATCTATTGCTTACTAAATTAGTTTTTACATGTTACTCCACTGCCATCTGAAATTGATTAAAAGCAGGGCTGTTTATAGATCTGGAGGAAACTCCTCGTGACACTGAGAATGAAGGTCATGTTAGATGACTGGCTCAAGACTGGCATCCCAAAAATAACCCACTAGTGAGATCCTGAAAGATCCAGAGTAAACAGAAAGCCTACTAATAGACTTTAGAAAGAAAGGAAATTGCCATTCTCAAAATTGGAAACTAAGTATTACAGATTAAGGCCTGAAACAAAAAATATGTTCTGACTTCTGAACTACAGAGACAGGTACACAGACCCATAGTGATAGAAGTGTTAATATAATATTTAAAAAAAGAAAGAAAACAAGAAAAGAAAGGAAAGTAGAAAATTACTCTGGAGCATCGCAGGATGGGGCACGTGTGTGAGTATGTGTGTATGTGTTTGTGTGTGTGTATATGTGTGTAAAACAACCTGTCTGCTATGAAGCTATTGGGTCACTAGGTCAGCCTAAAATGCCCCCTGATTTCCTGCTCCAAATCTTGCCAGGAGAACATGACTTCTAGCTGCAGCTCCAGCACAGATAAGCTGGGTGACCCAGGGAAAGTGACTCTCTTTTTGCCTCAGCTTCTACATGAGGATTAAAGATGGTTTCACTGGTTCTCCTCACAATAAGATGCCAGATATTAAAATTCCAAATTGAATACTCCATTTCTCAAGCCAACAACTTATTTTTTTTTTCTTCTTAGATTGATTCTCGTAGAATTTTTATTTTATGCCTGTGTCAGAGGTTCAGTGATGTGCTAGGAGGATCCTGGGACATATAGTCATTCTCACCACTGTATTTTATTCAAGCGCATGGAGACAGCAAAATCAGTGAAGGGAAAATGCGCCAGGGAGAGATCTGGAGGGAACCAGGTGCGAGCTTCCAGGAGGCTTCTCCCCATGGAGTCACACAGGACACGCTTAATCTCCCAGCAAGGAGTGGTGACAACATATAAAATGCTGTCTACCGGGGAAGCTCATTAGACACTCAGTGCCAAAGGTTTTTACTGGGGGCTGTAACGTAGTCACCCTCTGCCTGCTACGTACCATAATTCCAGACTCCCAGGACGAAAGTAGGTGTTCAGCATAGACCCAATTGTTTGTACAGTTTAGGCACAAGGAGCCAATCTCATCCATTAGAGTGGAGGGAACACTCCTGAAATTCCAGTTCCCAGACACCAGCCAAGGGTCAAACTTGCAAGCAGAGACCTCAAAGGAGAGCAGTCCCAGACCTACTATGT